CAGATTTTAAAGAAAACTTGTATTCAGTCCACACTCGTGACAGTCTGGTTAATATTCAAAAATTCATTAAAAATCATCCGTCATAGCTGATGTACAACTTTCACCACATCCTTACTCTGGAACACCCACTGTACCTGTGTGCCACATTTCAGACAGATTTACTGTAGAAATCTTCAGATATTACAGAAAACTTGTATTCAGTCCACACTCGTGACAGTCTGGTTAATATTCAAAAATTCATAAAAAATCATCCGTCATAGCTGATGTACAACTTTCACCACATCCTTACTCTGGAACACCCACTGTACCTGTGTGCCACATTTCAGACAGATTTACTGTAGAAATCTTCAGATATTACAGAAAACTTGTATTCAGTCCACACTAGTGACAGTCTGGTTAATATTCAAAAATTCATAAAAAATCATCCGTCATAGCTGATGTACAACTTTCACCACATCCTTACTCTGGAACACCCACTGTACCTGTGTGCCACATTTCAGACAGATTTACTGTAGAAATCTTCAGATATTACAGAAAACTTGTATTCAGTCCACACTAGTGACAGTCTGGTTAATATTCAAAAATTCATAAAAAATCATCCGTCATAGCTGATGTACAACTTTCACCACATCCTTACTCTGGAACACCCACTGTACCTGTGTGTCACATTTCACACAGATTTACTGTAGAAATCTTCAGATATTACAGAAAACTTGTATTCAGTCCACACTAGTGACAGTCTGGTTAATATTCAAAAATTCATAAAAAATCATCCGTCATAGCTGATGTACAACTTTCACCACATCCTTACTCTGGAACACCCACTGTACCTGTGTGCCACATTTCAGACAGATTTACTGTAGAAATCTTCAGATATTACAGAAAACTTGTATTCAGTCCACACTAGTGACAGTCTGGTTAATATTCAAAAATTCATAAAAAATCATCCGTCATAGCTGATGTACAACTTTCACCACATCCTTACTCTGGAACACCCACTGTACCTGTGTGCCACATTTCAGACAGATTTACTGTAGAAATCTTCAGATTTTAAAGAAAACTTGTATTCAGTCCACACTCGTGACAGTCTGGTTAATATTCAAAAATTCATAAAAAATCATCCTTCATAGCTGATGTACAACTTTCACCACATCCTTACTCTGGAACACCCACTGTACCTGTGTGCCACATTTCAGACAGATTTACTGTAGAAATCTTCAGATATTACAGAAAACTTGTATTCAGTCCACACTAGTGACAGTCTGGTTAATATTCAAAAATTCATAAAAAATCATCCGTCATAGCTGATGTACAACTTTCACCACATCCTTACTCTGGAACACCCACTGTACCTGTGTGCCACATTTCAGACAGATTTACTGTAGAAATCTTCAGATTTTAAAGAAAACTTGTATTCAGTCCACACTCGTGACAGTCTGGTTAATATTCAAAAATTCATAAAAAATCATCCGTCATAGCTGATGTACAACTTTCACCACATCCTTACTCTGGAACACCCACTGTACCTGTGTGCCACATTTCAGACAGATTTACTGTAGAAATCTTCAGATATTACAGAAAACTTGTATTCAGTCCACACTAGTGACAGTCTGGTTAATATTCAAAAATTCATAAAAAATCATCCGTCATAGCTGCTGTACAACTTTCACCACATCCTTACTCTGGAACACCCACTGTACCTGTGTGCCACATTTCAGACATATTTACTGTAGAAATCTTCAGATATTAAAGCAAACTTATATTCAGTTCAATACAGTCAATAGAATTATGTCATTTTTCAAAAATTCATAAAAAATCATCCTTCATAGCTGATGTACAACTTTCACCACATCCGTCCTCTGGAACACCCACTGTACCTGTGTGCCACATTTCACACAGATTTATTGTAGAAATCCTCAGATATTAAAGCTAACTTGTATTCAGTCCACACTCGTGACAGTGTGGTTGCATATTCAAAAATTTATTACGAAAATTCCTTCATAGCTGATGTACAACTTTCACCACATCCTTCCTCTGGAACACCCACTGTACCTGTGTGCCACATTTCACAGAGATTTACTGTAGAAATGTTCAGATATTAAAACAAACTTGTATTCAGTCCTACACAGTCAATACCATTATGTGATTTTTCAAAAATTCATAAATAATCAACCTTCATAGCTGATGTACAACTTTCACCACATCCTTCCTCTGGAACACCCACTGTACCTGTGTGCCTCATTTCAGACAGATTTACTATAGAAATCTTCAGATATTAAAGCAAACTTGTATTCAGTCCACACTCGTGACAGTCTGGTTGCATATTCCAAAATTTATTAAGAAAATTCCTTCATAGCTGATGTACAACTTTCACCACATTATGACTCTGGGACACCCACTGTACCTGTGTCCCCCCTGCTGTGTTCTCCGCCAATGGCCACATTTACAAATGAAGGGATGCTAAGTGGAGCTATCAGAGTCATCCGTGTGGGTTAAGGGTCTTTTCAACCTGCTTCAGGACTTTGGGGCGGATCTTGTAATTCTTGGGACTTAAGGGTGAAGGTTGACTGTAGTAGACTATGGCCACAGCGATCCCAACGAGACAAGTAGTTGCTGTGGTGGTGTGATGCGTGCACATGATTAGACAATTGTAGGAACTAGGGAGTTACATTTTTACTGGACACTGTGAAACAAAGTTAGTTTGTTAACTTTGAACAGTTACGAGTTCCTGTTGTTGACAACATGAGCGACGCAAAACGACAGAGAAGGTAAGCATGAAATTAGCTTTAGCTGCAAATCATGTCCTTTGCCTTATTGACTTACATTTTTTGCGACGTTTTCCGTATGGGTTTTTGCTTCATTTGTTATTTGCTTCCCATTACTTTTTTTTACAGTAAAATGGTGTTTCAATGTGTTTTGGAGTACTATGTATTTAATTAGGGACACATAACGTAATAGATTTGTTATAACCACGTAATGTTCTAGGTAGCCAAGAAAAACCAACACTTTAGAAAATAATTTGTTAGAAAGACAGTTGATTTTAAGAGATGATTTAATAACTTTTGCTATGTAGGTTTATTTCCTTGCACCCGAAACACAAATAATCAGCCTTTTGCTTTGTCCATATCTCTGACTAGAATGGTGTGTTAACAAAAATATGATTAGTCTGTTACCATCCAAGACCATTTCAGTCACCCCAGTGGTTTTAAATATATCATTTCGAGTTATACAAGAAATATATAAACATAACACGTTTATGAAGAAAAACTTCAAATTTTATTGTTTGTCAAATACATTGAAGCATTTGTTTTTTAATTTCTTATTTGTGTTACAGGACCTCAACATTTACTGCCTTTGGAAAGGCAAGTTTTCTCCTTAAACAATATTTTGAAAAAGATATTCAATAAAATGTGATTGTAATTAAATTATAAAGTCTAAAAAACTTTGTAGTTCTAGATCTCTCTATTTCATGTAATTATTTTACTTACATTTACAGGCACGGAAAATTCGTCTGAAACATGAACATATAATACAATGCACTGAGACTTTCGCCGAACCACACAACAGAAACAAACACAGTGTTCACCGAGGAGACGCATTCTGGAGTAATGTGTGCAGAGACTTGGGAGTGCCAAATAATTATGCAAATCGTAAAAAACTTAATCTTGTTGCTCTGCACTACCAAAAGGTAAGCACTCTATGATATCTATGTTTATAGTCTGAATACTACTCTGGACTTAGTATTTACGAAGGATAGTGTAAAAATTTTATAAGCTCTGAAAGAAATTCCAGAGCAAAAATTCCTTGAGCAACAGACGTTTGTTTAGACCTGAAGAACAGTGGATGAATAATATAGATTGTGCCTTGCACAGGCACACCTAAGTTTAACTTGGTGGAAGGATACTGTTTATCATTACAGGTCGATGACAATGTAATTTCTACATGTGTATTAAACAGGGAAACATGGAAGTCATACACCAAACAAACAATCTTGATGTTGAAGGTGATAGTGGGACCTCCGGAGAGAGTAAATCTTCTTTGGTACGTATTTCACAATAAAATGACATGATTGATTTTATGTAACGTGTATTGTTATGAATTCAAAAGTTAAATTTTTAAAATTGTATTAATGTTTAGATTACGTAGTTAAACAATCATTTCCACATGAATTTATGGTTTTATATGAATTGTAGTGTAGTGGTAACTCCATAGTGTACAGGTTAATAGTAACACCTAACATGAGACATGTGCTTTAATGGATGGAGGCACAAAACACAGGAACCGTTGTTTCTTGAAGGGCAAACGCATATGATGTGATCCCGTTTCCTAGTCCCAGTCAGCAACCTGGCTGCGCTGTTCTGCACCACCTGTAGGCAACGCAGTGATGACTGACACAACCCTGCATATAGAGAGCTGCAGTAATCAAGGCTAGAAATTACAAAAGCATGGAGTACCCGCTCCAGGTGGGCTCTTGACAGCATGGGCTTGATTTTTGCAAGGCGTCTCAGGTGAAAGAAACTGGACCGGATCACATAGTTGATGTGAGCATCAAATTTAAGTCCAGCATCAAGTTTCACCCCCAAACTGGTCACAACTGGCTTGGAGTATGGCGAAAGAGGCCCAAGATCAACATTACGATCCACATTCCTGCTATTGGGGTGACAAACAATGAGCTTTGTCTTTCCCTCATTCAGATGCAGAACGTTGGCCATTAGCCAACACCTCACCTCGTTAACACTGGACAAAAATGACTGGATAGAGTCACCTTTCTCCGGACACAATGGAGAGTAAATCAGGCAATCGTCAGCATAGAGATGGAATGATAGGCCATGTCTACCTACCTTGTGCGTCAACATTGTATCAAACAAATGTAAATTACTATTTATTTTCTGCTGTGTGGCTGCGGGTCAGGTTGTTTAGCAGATATACGCGTTGATTCCTGGCTCAGTCTGCATGCCAAATATCCTTTGTCAAGATACTAACCACAAGTTGCCCTCCGATGCGCTCATCGGACTGTGAATGTGTGTAAATGTTTATTATTTAGCACTTGATTTTCTAAGTGCATGTATGACGTGTTGTGAATGTGACATGTAGTCCAGAGCGCTTTGAGTAGTCTGGGAGAGTCGAAAAGCAATATATATGAATCATTCCTTTCATCATATTAGTGAGTGTTTGTGTAAGTGAATTACTTGTATTATGTCAACCAATGTAAACCTTTAAAACTAAAACGTGTATTTTTTTTTTACATTACTATACTCATGAGCTAATAATTATTTCACACTCAGGATGAAGGAAACAGTGGCGGCGAAACACTCGAGATGTATCCACCTGAAAAGGAAGGAAATGAATCTCTCTTTTTGCTCAAACAGGTTGGAATTATTTATTACATAACTTTTAAGTGATTGCACTTGATTAAAACAGTGTCTCTATTTAAAAATAATTTCTTTGTTTGACAAATACAATTACATTCAAAGGATGTTTCAGAGGACAGTGATGACAATGGCATTTTCCAAAACATTTCTCCTGAATTGAAACAGCCACAAACTGGTGTGTCTACACCACAATCGTCTACATCACTCGAACAGGTAAATTATTGTCCACATACCATTATTTTTAATGAAATTACATCACATATTTCTTATTTTTAATAATTAATGTGTTTTAGGACTGGAGTACAGATTCACCCAACAACAGTGACAGTAATGCTGAAGAGGAATTCTACAAATGCTCATTGCCACAGCAGCCTTGTTTTTTTTTTTCATTGACCCGAAAGACTGGCAAGACCTAAGAAAAACGCAGAAAGGGAGGCTTTTCAAAGGACTGCAGTGGACTAATGTTGTAGCCACTGGCATTAAGTCAGTACACCCATTTTGCAGTTTTGGATTTAAGAGGCATACCATCAACACCAGTCAGTCACGGTCTAAGAGGGCTGTGTTCTCATGTAAGGCATACTGCCGTTTTAAGGATTGTCCAGTGACTGTGACAGTGGAGGTTAAAGATGAAAAAACCCTGAAGGCTGATGTGCTTTTCCAAGGAGGTGAGGTGTGCCACAACACAAAGGAAATAAAAACAAGACCTGTGCGTGGACACTCCAGAGACGAAATAGCAGAACAACTGGAAACCAAAATGCCAAGAAGTCTTTATCTGGATTCTCTAATTAAAATACCAGAAAAAGCTTTCCAAGCCGGGTGTCGGGATGAGGCTCCATCTAAAGAGGTCTTGAAAAATATTGCCTGGTCCCACAGAACAAAAGACAAACCTCATTTAAATGAGATGGCCAGTCTGCAAATTTTACTTGACAGACAGCAAGGACTTCCAAACGAAGTCCTTCAGAGAGTGCTCCTGCATCCAAAAGGTATAATGCTCTGGTCCCGAAAAACACTTACAGTGTTTTACCAACGGTGCAAAGATGACATAGTATATTTTGATGCAACAGGAAGCATTATCTCAAAAGATAATGCTTCTGCTACTCCGTACTATGTGTATGAAATTATAGTTCGAAATCCCTTCAAGGGATCCTCACCTCTTCCAACAGCAACTTTTGTTACATGTGACCATACCACGGCTTCTGTAACATATTTTGTACAAGCATTTCAAACAGAGCTTACACGAATGTATGGAAGCAGGGCAAACAAAAGGCCAGTAATGATCATATGTGATGGCTCACTGGTGCTTCTCCAGTCCATTGCGATAACATTCTGCAGAGCAAGTTTGGAAGACCTCTTGGAGAGATACTTCCAGGTTATCACAGGACAGTTGGACACGGATAACTTCAACATACCCATTCTCCACCGGTGTTTGAGTCACATCATGAAGAACGCAAAGGATCTTTGCAAAAAGAGGTATTTGTGCTCAAAGTCCTTGAGTACGAATGTTAGTTTTCTGTTTTAAGTATTTCTTTGGTGTTAGTGGTCTTGCCCTTGTAGATATTGTTGACTTGTTAATTTATGTCTATTATAATTATATTTTGTTAATGTTTTTTCTGCTAATTATTTGATTTTGTTTGTGTTTAGTATTCATGGTAATTGTTAATATGCTTTTTTGACTACAGACTTGAGAAACACTACAAATTTGGCATGCACGTTTTTGGATTACTGGCCTGTTCTTCCAACCTGAAAGATTTCGATGGCATTATTGTAAGTGCAACAGTAGTTTTCAAAAGTCCATGCAGTGGACCAGAAGTGCAAAAACACCTGCAGAACCTCAAACTGCTGATCAATCCGACGGGAAATGGTGATGATGAAGAAAAAGACATCATTCCAGAGGACTACAAGGTAATTTTAAAATTAAGTTTGGTTTTCAATGGTTGAGATATTAATTGTGTTCATGTTATAGTGTGACACCAATAACATTGTTTTGTAGCACATGTATGTGTTTTTTAAAACAAAATAAGGTCTTCATTATCCGAAATTTTTGTTAATTATATGACACTTAAATTTTTTTTTTTTCAGACGACAACAGTTCACTCATCACTTAACCAGCACTTTGCAGAAGTAATTGCCAGTGCCCACCTTGATGTGACTGGACCACCGAATGTGTACCATGCACCAGCATTCATTTCAAGTCTTTCTAAATACTTTCTTCCACATGCTACCTTGTGGTCAGGAATGCTGCTTGGTATGTCTAGTTTCGTTCAATCATCACTTTTATGTTATAATTGTTGTGCTTTATTGATTGAAAGTACTGTTTTTATTTAGGAGACCTTGGACGGCATGGCAAAGGATCAGCGTATGTCTTTCTCAGTAAACGGTACAATCAGGTGTCGCAGTTGAACACGCAGGTAGAATAAATTAAGACAGTAAAAGACACATTATGCAGATTTTGTCAAAAGACTAAATGATGTAATTACCATTTTCAGAACTACACTGAAGACAACCGTACACAAGGGATCATGGAAAAAAGTCAATGGGACCTGAAAAGGATTCGTTTTGATGGAAAGCGTCTCACTAGATTAGATGACTTTGTGCTCATATATCAAAGGAAACATGATGGTCTTCTCAGAGAATATGGAGATGTGGTCAACAAAAGGAGGAAGGTGAGGTTTGAAGACAATAATTCAAATTTCTGGACTGCTTTGGTGCAGTTTTTACACAACAAAAGTCATTCGCACTGCTGTAGTTGCATTTATCATATCTGTAATGAATATTTGCATTAACATTATGAATTGTGTGTTTTATGTGCATGCTTTAGTCTAAAATGTATTTGTTACTGTCGTTGAGACTTTGTGTTATTAGAAAACAAATTTACAACTGCATTACATGTGGTTATAATGAGTTTTCAGATATGATAAATGTAGGAGATTATTAGACTGACAACTGGAATTAAACAAAAGACATGAAGCATTAAGCATTTCGCATTCCAATAAGTTTGGAATTACAGTAAATGTCCTTGACTGTTTGCTTGTTTGGAATATTTTGTACATAAAGATCAGATCAAACAATTCTTGTTAATTATTTTTAAATTATACTTTTCAGTCTTACCGAGTGGAGACCGAGAAGTGGAAGAAAATAAGTAGAAAGCGAAAAGGCTTCTATGTAACTCCTCAGATGGGAAAACAAGTCAAACAGGTAAGGTATCATCACTTTTTCTTTCATCTATGCATGTCACCACAATTTGTTCTATTTGAAATGTTGTGTGTTGTATGCCAATTACAATGTATACTTGGTTTTTTTTTTTTTTTTTTTTTGCTTCTATTAAGCATGCAATAAATTATGTAATCTTACTGTAACTCTCTTTATATTCCTATGATTGTATGCATGTTTTGGAAAGTAAATAACGATGTCAACTATACATCACTGTACAGTAATTGTAACTCGTCAATGTGTTAAAACTGTTTTGAACAGATTAAATAACCATCTGTTGTGCCATACTACATTTCATAATTAAAAACCTCATTAGTCTTTCACAGCTTTTAGCAAAAAATTGGTTATTAAAAATCATGACACTGGAACTCTCCACACATAGCAACAGCTAGCCATAAAATACTTGTTGTTATTGAAGTAATTAGCATTATTGTTAGTTATTGCAGTTGTAGAAGACCATTTACAACAATTAGCATTTTGTTCTGTAAATGCAGTAACATTTAAACACATAATGCAGACTGCATATTGTCTTAACCTATGTGTGTATTATAGATAGAGAACTATTTAAGTTCTGATAAAGACATACATTTTCATGTGTGTTATGTAAGTATTCTGTGTTCTTCCATGGAAAGTAGTAATTTCATTATTTCTCTAAGGATTATCTACAAGAACCACCAGACTCAGATGTGCCCACAGAGCAGACTGAAGCTGTCACTACACAGGTTAGATTTTTATTTATTGTGAGATATACATACATAAATATATACAGTATACACACACACACACACACACACACACACACACACACACACATACATCAATCAATCAACCAATCAATCAAAGCTTTACTTATAAAGCACCTTCCGCAACCCTGTCAGGAAGCCCAAAGCGCTGAACATGGTACTGTTGTAGATAAATATATTGAATAAATCAACTATAAAAGGAATTCAAATAACAAAATAGAAATTACTAAATCCAAATTCCAAAATAGAAATTACAAGATACAAATTACAAAATAGAAATTACAAGATAGAAGAAAGATTCTGGTACAGGACAAAAGTGAGAAACACATTCGGATTGAGTGGATGGATTGAGTGAACCAATGAAAACTGTGAAATCAATTCTACATAAAAGAGGGCCAAAATCAAACATGTTCTGGAAACGCCAAGCGGAGGAAGTGTGTTTTTAGGTGATTCTTAAAGACTGGCAGAGAAGGGGACAGCCTAACTGAGGGTGGCAACTGGTTCCAGAGTAACGGTGCTAGGACTGAGAAAGCCCGGTCCCCACGGGCACGACACCTAGAACGAGGGACAGCGAGCAGGCCTTGGTCAGAGGAGCGCGTGATGGGGAATGTCTGTTCAGGAGTGTGGCTAGATAGGGGGGACCACCACCCTGGAAGAAACTGTAAACAAAGACGAGGATTTTGAATTGTGAGCGATAGCAAATCGGAAGCCAGTGCAGGGAGGCCAGAACCGGACTGATGTGGTCCCGTTTCCTGGCCCCAGTCAGGAACCTGGCGGCGCTGTTCTGCACAACCTGTAGGCGACGCAGTGATGACTGACACAACCCTGCGTAGAGAGAGTTGCAGTAGTCAAGCCTAGAAATTACAAAGGCATGCAGTACCCGCTCCAGGTGGGCTCTCGACAGCATGGGCCTGATTTTTGCAAGGCATTTCAGGTGAAAGACACTGGACCGGATCACAGAATTGATGTGAGCATCAAATTTAAGTCCTGCATCAAGTTTCACCCCAAAACTGGTAACAACTGGTTTTGAGTATGTAGAAAGAGGGCCAAGATCTACATAACGATCCACATTCCTGCTGTTGGGGTGAAAAACAATGAGCTCTGTTTTTCCCTCATTCAGATCTAGGTAGTTGGCCATTAGGCAAGACTTCACCTCATTAACACAGGACACTAAGGACTGGATAGAGTGACCTTTATCCTGACACAATGGAGAGTAAATCTGGCAATCGTCAGCATAGAGATGGAATGATAGGCCATGTTTACACATATTAAACAATATTGAAATGGTCATGTGTTTTAATTTATATTAGAGCACAGAAGACATCCAAGGATGGGATTTGCCAAACAACTCCAGAAAAGTCCAGGAGGCGGAAAAGGGCAAAACATTGGATAAATTACAGGTGAATCAATGTCTATTGTACTGTCTGTAACTTCGATGAAATGTCAACAAACAGACATAACATCAGGAGTCGCTGCTATGTCATTCAGACACACTTCGGAAACATGCGGGTGGTTGCATGAGAAGAACGTGAATTTGTATGTTAGAAGTTTTTTTGCAAAACGAAGGCTTAGGTATTCTGTTATGCTGAAAAGGGTTTATGTTCCCTTTTAACTATTTATCCTTTTAATAGCTTTTCCAAACTAATTAATTATTGATTGCGGTAGCCTACCCTGATGTGAAATAGAGTTATTAGTATTCACAAATTAAATTTGAAGATAACAATCTTGTGCACATAAAAACTTTTTTAAAAAACCTTAACTTGTCCGATAAATGTATTAGGTACCTATGTTGGTGTAACACATAGTCATTTATATGTCTGAATGAATTGTCAATCATCCTTTTTATGTCAATCTCAAAAGGTTCAATCTATTCACCTGGACGCCGCTTTTTCAGTGGGAGACATGTTTCCTCACTTATCCAAGTAACTTCTTCACTCTAAGCTGACTGCAGTTTTCACCAAAGTTAGAAAGAATACATTTTCATAATGACTGAAACAAGCAAACTGAAGTAATGATGGGTTGTGATGTGAGTTGCTTCATCATAATTGTGCAAATTGGTGTGACCATTGATCAACAACGACTGATCACAGATCACTACTAAATGCCCATGACTCAGTATACAAATTTACATTTTGTAAGATGCGTGAAACTTGGAGAGAGGTGAGAGTGAATACATTTCTTGGATGACTGAAGAAATGTTTGTCCCTCTGCAAACGCTACGTGCAGATGAAGAAAATCAGCTTTTGGGGTTCATTTATATGTGTTTCCATATCACCAAACAAAATGAAAGCATTTATAGTATTATGTTGAACATCTTTGAAAAAACAACCTTACTGATTTGTGTACTTCTTTGACAATGTGTTAATAGTTTCTTACTGTTGTGCCACAAATACAAACACACTCTTAATTTTACCCATAGGTCACAGCACTGTGGAAAAGAGAGGAAACCGAAGTTGTCGTTGCTGTGATTCCATCACAAATAAAAGGGAACAACTTTATAGTTCACCACAGCGAGCTGCAATCCCTGGAACCTCATCAATGGTTAACAGGCGAGGTACATGGAAAAGACAGTTTTACAAACCCTGTGTTTTAAGTGTTGTGGAAAGGGGTAACATAAGAACTGATGCGGAGAAGGAGTGGTGAGTCTAAAGAAAAGACATATATTTAAACAGGGAGGGCAACCAATATACACAGTCCTACACTGGAAAAACTCAAACAAACCACGTCATTCTCCCACTGAATAACTGTAACAGGAGTCCTTTTAGCTAGCGCTTCATCATCATGGGGATTGTCTGCAGCTGTTGCAGGGTGGGCGGGCCTAGGCGGAAGCCAGCCTGATGGAGGACTTGTCCAAGGTCCTGAAAAGCCTGGAGGGAAAACACAGGGCCACACAGGGCCACACAAGGCGTGGGAGCCCAGGATCCCTAAGAGACAGACTACAAAACAAATGAAGCTGTATTTTAAATACTGTTTTACACTAATCCTTTCATATCCACCATTTAATTTCCTGTTGTTGTTTTTTTTATTTATTGCTATTCATAGAGCCAAAACATCACTGATCTTAATGCTGTTCCCATATCAACAACAAATTTTTCCATCCACGTTAGACAGACGCAATGTTTTTATAGACAAAGCTATTGTTTATACGTGCTTTAATCTTAAATGGATTTGTTACAGTGCTAATGCACTTGAATCTTCAAATGTTTTATACTTAAAATGTTTTATACAACTCCAAATCACTAACTGTAATTTGAAATAAACAGCATTCCTTTAATTAAACAAACAAATAAATATACGTTAAAAAATTTAAAATATATATCAAAGAGGAAATAAAGTGAAATTGTCAAAGACAAAATTTTAGTCTTGTGTCACATTTTGTTAGCCCAATTTACCATGTGGACATGACAAAAGGATGTAAAAATGTTCGGTGATCTTGTAACTGTGGAAGTTATTGACCTATATTTTTGTTTTAAATCTGTTTTTATTAATATGTTTAACATTTATGAGCACAAAATGTCACTAAAATTTCCTTGTTCGTCACTGACAGGAGTCACCCACAGTGTGGTCTTTGTTTGATATAAAGCTTTTGCCTGGAGATAAATAGCAGTTTAACTTGACATCTCTTCTTTATTCAATTTCATTTTTACCAGATTATAGAGTGTGCTCTGCATGTTATGGCCTGCAAGCTGGATTTGGGCAGTAAGATATACATTCTGAACCACTACACTGCTGGTGTCATCCTGTTTGGGAAAAGAGAAATGATGAGGAGGCACTGTTTGTCAAAGGTGAAATATACAAATTCATATACATATTGCAATGTAAATATTAGGGCTGTAGCGAAGCTTCGATGACGTCGACGGCTCGATTCTAAAAATTCGTCGACGTCAGATCCGGTAGTCGACGCACCGCGCCCACTTGTTGCATCCCCAGGAGTTTGAAAATAGAGGTGGAATCTGCCTGTTTTTCCTCTAGTTCGCCCTCTTCTCCGCCTTCACTAACATCTCAGCCAAATACCGAAGACCCGGAACAAAGTCCATCCGCTACTAGGTTCCTTTCCTGTTTTGCCCGCCTTCGTTTCCCGGCAACGGACAACAACTTCCGGGGTCAAATGCGCTGCTCCGTCTCTATAGCAGATGTAGAAAATCACCGGGAGCGTTTCTCCCTTCATAAAGGAGCTTCTTTCAGACATTAGGAGAGCTGTTTTGGTGGTAGCAGTCTCTCCTCCGAGCTGGTCTGTTTGCTGCTGGGTGTTTTTGTTTTATTTAAACTTGGCAACTTAACGTTGGTAAAGCTACTGTTAGCATTTTCGCTAACAGCTTCTTGCGTTTGGATAAGCTCTTACGTTTTGGTTTAGAGTTCATCTTTTTTCAATCCAATCCAATCCAATTTTATTTATAAAGCGCATTCACAAGGCATTACAACCAAACACGGCGCTGTACACTAGAAATGTTGGTTAATTAAACAAGCGATATTTAAACATGTTGAACACATATAAAAAATAATAATTTGTGGTACAAATTAATAAATGTCTAAATGTAATAAAATCTCCCTTTTGTTACATTTAGAGTGTTGTGGGTTTTCGGTTTAGTTTAAAATATCACCTTGAGGTTGGTTTAACCGCCCAGTTTAGAGTTTGGAACTTTGGAGATTCTTATTTTGGTCCAAAACCCTGTAATCTTTGCACAGAGGGACATCCCTAGTTATCTGTACTTTTGTTTTAATTCCCCACAGGCAGAATTAGTTTTATTACTCCCAACCTGTGGATGGAAAGATTTGGTTTTTTGTAGTTGTAAATAAACCCGATCATCATTTTAACTTTTAAATCCCACATTATTGTCCCTTCCTTTTTGCACACGAGCCAAACTCCCCAGGAAGAGTCGTAACACCACTCGCCTCACGCACATAAGTGACCAAAACAAAGCAGCATGGAGACACTCCGTCTCCAACCACCTCTCAGGCAGCAGCCTGCACTCCCAAGTTCTACACGTCACCAGAACATAACCAACCAACACAATAAAAGCAGTGTTATACAAAATGGGAGGCCTGTAGTGTTTATTCTCTTACAGTAACAATTAATCAATTTTTTGGAGGAATTTATTAGAGATTTTTTGGTTTTTATTAACTGTGCAATAGAAAAATAATCATTAGATTAATTGTATAAATAGTCATTAGAATAGTCGACTATTCGATAAAATAATCGTCAGAATAATCGTTTTAAAAATAATCGTTTACCCCCAGCCCTAGTAAATATGTTTTTATTTTACATTGTTCTAATTTTTTGTTAACAGGTCAACTTTGATAACTACGAGGCAATTGTTTCGTTTGTGAACGTTGGAAATGTTCACTGGAAGTGCCTGGTTAGTAGTAACATAAATTGCCTTTCAGAAAATTCATATTCTGAACTAAGTTCAATATTATGGAATAATAAGATTTCTGTTTTTAAAATTAGGTTTTGTAAGTGCCATAAAATGTCACCCTGGAAACTTTTTTTACTTTCTGAGACAACTAGCCCTGATTTATGTGTGTGTGTGATGTCCCACTATCAAGTCCTAAATGTCAAATACCTGTATACTGGACTACTAAATGTTTCCCATCAGTTTACCTTAAAACCTGACATTTAATGTATTCGACTGTAGTAAATGGTGTGTGGACAAAGAGGACGATAGCAAATAGAAATTAAAGTAAATTAACTTGAAAGATTACAATAGGTATTGATGTAATAATATGTATAACAGCTTTTCATGGACTAATTACAGCAATCAGCTTTAATAACTGATCAAACAAGTTATAGTCAAATCTCTCAAGTATGATAAAAATCAGATACATATCTGCAATTACTGGCTACAGAATTAATTATATTATCTTTTCTGTTATAGTACCTAAGTAAAGCAGACAACTGTCTTTACCTTGTTGATCCAGCACACAACACAAGAGAGCTTGAAGAATCCAAAGTGGCAGCACAAAAATTCAGGTAGATTCTCATTTTCAAAAATTTAATTGATTAAATGATCATGTTCTTTTATAGTGCTGCAGTTTTCAAAATGTGTAATCCAGTCCGTATGAGTGGGTTGGGACGGTTCTGCCGATGTGCCTCATTAATTACATTTTAGCAATGAAAAAGCACAAGTTTTTGATTACTTGATTATTTTTTGCTTAATGTTGTGTTAAATCTCAGTGTTACGTAAACTTTATGTGTCCCTATGGTAGATGGGTCAATCATTGGCATTAAGAACTTGCGTTAACATTTCTGTTCCTGCAAGTTTTTTTGTAATGTCTTGGTAAATTTTTTTCTGTTTTAATATATGACAGTCCCTGTTTTTTCTGTAGAGTTATAGTTTCTTTATTCTGTGTGTTTTTGGGTGGTGCAACCCTATTGGCTTTGGTACTGAGGAAAATTAGAGGAATAATGAATTGTGAGTACTATAGACAATTTAATACAGTACTCAAAGACAGTGCTATTCAAAATACGGTAATGACATGTATTTGTTAGGGTCCCTGGGTCGTTGAGCCATAGTGTTAATTGCTCATTACTGTTGTACTTTGATTGTTGCTTTTGTTTACCGTATGTGATCTTTTGGTTTCTTTGTCATAGTTGTACCTTTTTGTTTCTTTTCTGTGTTCCATAGTTGCTGTCTACCCTTTCGGCTGTATCGACGTGTCAAGTCTGCGTCTGTGTTTTTTTCCATGTTTTAATTAGAAAGTCTATGTCTCATGTTAAAGTGTCTGTTTTTGCTTCCTTTGTGTCGTTAGGCCTGAGTTGCCACAGTTGTAGTTCCAATCCTGTTTCCCATTCCCTGCTCGCTCCCTCTGTGTTTTTCAGCCCTGTGTTTTCATCTACACGTCTCACGATCTACTGTCTCCTATGCTGCGTGTTGTCCCTGCCAGCCACCGGGCCGAGCTGGTTCATTTTGTGTTCGAGTTCCGAACAGTTGTCTGTTTGCCGTCCGGCATTATTGCTGTAGTTAAGTTCAACATTTGTTTCCGCGACTGCATTTTGGGTACTTTGCCTGCCTGCACGTGGCCCTGACATGACAGTATAACCCTTGCACAGGGAGTTCTTCAAAATGAGGCGTACTGCTATCGGCAAGACTGACTGGGTGGATATAAAGTTACAAGGAGAAGTTGTGAAACACCCAGTTCAGAAGGACACAAATAGCTGCGGTGTGATTGTCATCTTGGTAAAGTAACAGACATGAGTTTCAAAACATTTTTGTGTTGATGTTGCATTAGAAAATTGATTCTGCTATAGAAAACCAATATGACTAACTTATTTTGTGAGTATTTTGCTATTTCCATAGATGGCTAAGGCGTTCATGGAGTCCTTTCCAAAAAAACCAGGCATGACATTTAAAACAACACCGAAAGCAATGGTGCAACAGCGTGAAGCAATTGCTTCACAAATACTGGGAGCCTCAGGTTTGTGAAGTGTTATAGCACAAAGAGATTACTTGTAGTTAAATACATTCATTGTGATTCACAAATTTTACTGTATTTGTAATAGTGTTCGAGGCAGAAAACAACTGCGCCATGTGTTCAACCCCAAAACCACCTTTTCCAGGGCCTTCTATCACCAAATGGGTAAGACAGATTTGTAATTGAGGATATTATTTTACAACTTGTATTGTGTACAGTTGCTTTTGTAATTTGGTTTTTGTATTGAGGAAGAGGGGTTATTTAGCCTAAACTTGCATTAATTTTTTTTGCCTTGGTGTGTTAGTTATTTGGAATAACTGATATGTAAAGAAAAAAGGAAATACATAGTAGTGGCAGATTAATAAAGATATTCATGTTAAATCATGTGAGAAAATAAATTTTTTGATTTTTGGTTTGTTGAACATTCACAGATCCAGTGTGACAGCTGTGCAAGGTGGTTTCACAAACAGTGCTTGCAGATGAACACAGAGCTGTATCAGAAGGCAGAGGCTGCAGAATGGGAGTGTGCACTCTGTGAAAAATAAATAGTCTTATTTCATTTGTAAAATGTATATATGTCATGGTCTGTGTCTGCATCTCCCCTCATGCTTCTCCCCTGATTAGTCATTGCCTTGACCTGGTCCTCCTCCCACATCCCACACACCTGCAGCTCATGTCCCTCTCATCCTCCCTGTGTATTTAAGCCCTGTCTTGTCTCAGTGTCTTGTCTGTCCTTTGTGGTAATTCTGTACCTCGTCTCTAGTTTGCTTGTTCTTCTTGTATCTCTGTTTTTGTATCTCAAGTATTAGATTTTGAACATTTTGGATTTTGACTCTCCGCCGTAGAGTTACTTTTGTTTTTGACTCACCTTTAAATAAAGTATTTCACTGATTCTCATCCCTGCATCGTGTCATCTTGGGTGCTGCATTATGGGTCCTACAAACCAAGCTTTCAACGTGACAATATAAGGTTGACTAATGTCATGTAATTTCTTATTGCACTGATAGAAACAGAGGAACAGGTGTAAATATTATTTAGAAATTTTGTATGTGTACATATAAAGGTTATGTATCTCAGAAATGTAAATAAAGCTAGATCATTTTGACTTTGTATTGCAGTCTTTCTTTTTAATGAATTTTTGAATATTTAACCTGACTGTCACGAGTGTGGACTGAATACAAGTTTTCTTTAAAATCTGAAGATTTCTACAGTAAATCTGTCTGAAATGTGGCACACAGGTAGAGTGGGTGTTCCAGAGTAAGGATGTGGTGAAAGTTGTACATCAGCTATGACGGATGATTTTTTTATGAATTTTTGAATATTAACCAGACTGTCACGAGTGTGGACTGAATACAAGTTTTCTTTAAAATCTGAAGATTTCTACAGTAAATCTGTCTGAAATGTGGCACACAGGTACAGTGGGTGTTCCAGAGGAAGGATGTGGTGAAAGTTGTACATCAGCTATGAAGGATGATTTTTTATGAATTTTTGAAAAATGACATAATTCTATTGACTGTATTGAACTGAATATAAGTTTGCTTTAATATCTGAAGATTTCTACAGTAAATCTGTCTGAAATGTGGCTCACAGGTACAGTGGGTGTTCCAGAGGAAGGATGTGGTGAAAGTTGTACATCAGCTATGAAGGATGATTTTTTATGAATTTTTGAATATGCAACCTGACTGTCACGAGTGTGGACTGAATACAAGTTTTCTGTAATATCTGAAGATTTCTACAGTAAATCTGTCTGAAATGTGGCACACAGGTACAGTGGGTGTTCCAGAGTAAGGATGTGGATGAAAGTTGTACATCAGCTATGACGGATGATTTTTTATGAATTTTTGAATATTAACCAGACTGTCACGAGTGTGGACTGAATACAAGTTTTCTTTAAAATCTGAAGATTTCTACAGTAAATCTGTGTGAAATGTGACACGCAGGTACAGTGGGTGTTCCAGAGTAAGGATGTGGTGAAAGTTGTACATCAGCTATGACGGATGATTTTTTATGAATTTTTGAATATTAACCAGACTGTCACTAGTGTGGACTGAATACAAGTTTTCTGTAATATCTGAAGATTTCTACAGTAAATCTGTCTGAAATGTGGCACACAGGTACAGTGGGTGTTCCAGAGTAAGGATGTGGTGAAAGTTGTACATCAGCTATGACGGATGATTTTTTATGAATTTTTGAATATTAACCAGACTGTCACGAGTGTGGACTGAATACAAGTTTTCTTTAAAATCTGAAGATTTCTACAGTAAATCTGTGTGAAATGTGACACACAGGTACAGTGGGTGTTCCAGAGTAAGGATGTGGTGAAAGTTGTACATCAGCTATGACGGATGATTTTTTATGAATTTTTGAATATTAACCAGACTGTCACTAGTGTGGACTGAATACAAGTTTTCTGTAATATCTGAAGATTTCTACAGTAAATCTGTCTGAAATGTGGCACACAGGTACAGTGGGTGTTCCAGAGTAAGGATGTGGTGAAAGTTGTACATCAGCTATGACGGATGATTTTTTATGAATTTTTGAATATTAACCAGACTGTCACTAGTGTGGACTGAATACAAGTTTTCTGTAATATCTGAAGATTTCTACAGTAAATCTGTCTGAAATGTGGCACACAGGTACAGTGGGTGTTCCAGAGTAAGGATGTGGTGAAAGTTGTACATCAGCTATGAAGGATGATTTTTTATGAATTTTTGAATATTAACCAGACTGTCACGAGTGTGGACTGAATACAAGTTTTCTTTAAAATCTGAAGATTTCTACAGTAAATCTGTGTGAAATGTGACACACAGGTACAGTGGGTGTTCCAGAGTAAGGATGTGGTGAAAGTTGTACATCAGCTATGACGGATGATTTTTTATGAATTTTTGAATATTAACCAGACTGTCACGAGTGTGGACTGAATACAAGTTTTCTTTAAAATCTGAAGATTTCTACAGTAAATCTGTCTGAAATGTGGCACACAGGTACAGTGGGTGTTCCAGAGTAAGGATGTGGTGAAAGTTGTACATCAGCTATGACGGATGATTTTTTATGAATTTTTGAATATTAACCAGACTGTCACGAGTGTGGACTGAATACAAGTTTTCTGTAATATCTGAAGATTTCTACAGTAAATCTGTCTGAAATGTGGCACACAGGTAGAGTGGGTGTTCCAGAGTAAGGATGTGGTGAAAGTTGTACATCAGCTATGAAGGATGATTTTTTATGAATTTTTGAATATTAACCAGACTGTCACGAGTGT